AACCTTTGCCTGAAGAATGAAGGTTCAGCTTACCTGTCACAGCTGTAGTTCTTGTGGCATCCTCTTCATGCTTGACAGAAATTTGAACTGGTACAGCCAGCAACACTGGAGCTAACAGTGCTAACCCAGATGTTCCAGGCAGCTGCTGCAGGCGGTGTTTGTGTATCACTGAGTGGGGACTGGCAGTTGGGATTCTGGTAGGCACAGGGTGTAGGAGGGGCTGGGGAACCTAAGGATTTTAAACTGTTTGGCTTAGGCACTTTTTTGCAAACAGTTTGTAGTGCCAAAGAAGTCCTAAGAGGAGTCCAAAAGCATTCACTATCTGCTAGCAGTACTTGAAAGTAAGATGTGTATAAGAAGGGCATCTTTTAACAGAAATCAGTGTTTGGATGCAGTTTTGTTAGAGTGCATCCTCTGGTTTGATGTCTCTCTATACTGTAAAATACTGCTGTTTGGTATGCACAGCTCTAGAAGATCTTGTTACTGCTACATTTTTTTTCCTTTTTTTCCTTTATAGCCAACTTTAGTTCACTGTTACTGTGAGAAATACAGGGATTTTATTTTTTTTTCCTGCGTTATTACTTAGGGACTTGCTTTAAGATTAATTATCTCCTGATTATCTTCTAATGAATGGCATGAGTAGATTGTCTATTTCTACAGCCATCTAGATGAGGGTGCATTTCTTTCTTTCATCCTTTATTGTGACTTACAGCATAATAGATGTTAAATGACACATTCATTCTGTGACTCTTAAGACTAACAAAAGAAAAGACTTCCGTTGTATAGCAATAAATTGACTTTAATTTACTTCAGCCCTAAAATGTTTTTTTCTCTGTATGTATAAGAAGTTTTAGATGCTCTTTTGTCTTTGGACATTTGTGATTACCTTGATTGTTCTACCACCAGATTGGAGTATGTGGTTTGTTAAGAAGCTTTTTGCATCAATAGTGGTGAATATCAAGTTTGTAAATAGTTGTCCTTTGTATGTCTGAATACTTTTAAAAACAGATACTACATACTTAAAATACAGAGACTGAGAATAATGCTACAAAGCAGAAAGATAGCCCTTATCTTGCAGTTATTTGTACTTCCAGTTGCATACTGTTTCTTATGAGTATTAGCATAAACTTTTGCCACGGTTCGAAATTTTGGCTTGTGTTCCAATAGGAGCAGCTGTGCCTGGATTTCATCTAAGAACAATGGTGGTAAATGCTGTGTTCTGAAAGTGGCTATCTCTAGGGCCAGGTCTTTCAGGTTGGTTTGTTTTGCTAGAAGCATTCTATTGACTTTTCTGAAATGTTTTGCAGATAATGGGCATCAATGGGTACCGACTGAGTTAATATGCAGTACCTTCACAACATATGCCAGTTCTACAGGTTTCTGTTTCTTTTATTGGAGGAGAGAACTTCTAGTGGTGTTTTGTTTTGTTTTCTTTTTCCTGGAACAGACCAGAGCAAGAACGTGCATTTGGTACTTACTTGGTTTCTTGAAAAGCTTTTGGCAAGACTGGCTTCCATGTCTTTTTCTGTTGGTGTGCTTGCCTCCAATACTCTTTTTGAGATGCAAAATGAAGATACTGTGTACAAGAATAGTCTAAAGGAAATTAAACTGAGATCCTGTCTCTTACATTAACCTTAGCAATGTGTTGTTAGCTATCGTTAGCAGTTCATACAGCTTTCTATTCCCCTTTTCAGCAGTGTGGAACTTCATTGGAAAATGCTGATTGGAGAGTGCTCTCAAGCTGTCATGTATATTTGCAGATGTGGAATTAGATATTCTTCAAGTATTTTGTCTTCAAAATTATCTTAATATCTTTTAGTTATTTTTCTCCAAGCTGTTCTAGAACGAACATTTTGCATCCTTCAAATAGATTTAATTTGAAATTATTTATTATATTTAATCTTTTGTGAGAGCTCTTATGCCCTGTGGATTACAGCTCATCCCAAGCTGGAGTTCCCTGTGCTCAGCTCTATGAATGTGCTTTTGGAAGAGATGGAAATATGTGTCAGTGGAAAGCATGTAATACTGGAAGCAAATGCGGTGCTTCAGTTTCATTAACTTCTGTAAGTGCAGATTTCAGTCCTCAGGTCTTCTCAAGCATTGTCAAGTGTCTTCCTGAGAAGGAGATACCCCTGAAGGTCAGTTGGTGCGATGCTAGTGAAGCGTGAGGTAAAACTGTGAAGGCCTGAACTGGTGGAGAAAATGGACTTCAGGGAAAAGTGGCACAAAACATTCTTGTTTTTCTTTATTAAGAAAATGGGCTGGTAGCACGTGAGCCTTAGAACTTAGAATTAAACCAGCCCTTTTCATCAGTTAGTGTTACGTATTTATGGTACTGGGCTTTAACTTTGTAGTGACTGTACTTTCAATTTTAACGTTCTGAATGTAAATCATGAGAAGGACCAATTAAGAATGCCCAGCTATCAGGGGTTACAATCAGTTCTATATTTCAGACATGCTTATGCACATGAAAGAAGAAAAAAATGGGATTTTGAAGTGATTTTCTCTGCAATAAGCAACTGTATGAAACTATTTCATAGGCTAGGTCTTTAATCCAGTGCTAACAACGTCTTCAGTGCGTGGACAAATACAGCCTTTGACAAGGCAAAGAAATTTGACTGTGTTGTTACGACCATTGTTTAATGCATAGTTTACAAAACAAATTAGTAGCAGTTTTCCAAAATAGAGTTTCTGCATTCTTGCATCGTGCAATAACTTGCACAGTTCCTCATCTTCAGTGCTCCTTGGTCATCTGCAGCTTGGGAAGAACACAGCTGGAGATGTGGGCTCCCAGAGCACGGTGCTGTTTGGGGTGGTTTGGGTGCTGGTGTGTGGCTGCTTTCTGATTAGCAGATTCTGAGTAAATGAGCAAATGCTCACTTGCTATTTTTAAACTTGTACTGTAAATAACTTCACTTTTTCCAAGGCGTCTTCAGTGCTGTGGTGTAGTGCTGCTGGATACTAGCGTGGAAGTCCACCCTGTTTCATTGTGGGTACTAAAAATGGAAAAAAAAATAAAAAGAATATACAGCAACAAAAGCATTTTTATTAGAAAAGCCTATTTTTCATGTTTAATCACCTTTTGTGACACCATAATGATGCATGGATGTTGGTCTGTTCAGATGTGCAAGTATCTGCATGATGTTCTAATGCCGTTCTAAAATGATCTGCAGCGTTGCAGCATCCTAGATAGAAGCCATTCTTATTTATGTCTCTATTAACTGTTTTAGCTCATTTCTTGATCTGGCACTGGGCTTTCCTGCCCAGAAGTCCTGAAGTCTGGCTACCTTTAATCTACAAGAATAAGAGCAGCAGGAATCAAAATGTATCCCTCCTTGAGCTGGGCTGCTCCCATGGCAACGTGCAGCCTCTGTGGTGCATGAATCCAGCCCTGCCTGCGCTGAGGGAGTTACTCTAAAAATCAGCTCATGGGAAAGGAACGATTGTATGAAAATCACTGCTGTGTCGGTGTGCATCCAGATGCTTATTGCTTTTTTTGTTGGTTTGTTTGTTTCTTCTTTCATCACAAAGACTTGGCTGTGCAGCACAGTGATTTTTGCTAGTGCAAGAAAAAAATTCAGCTGTAGGACTGGCGATCTCTGACATGTGCAGCGTGGGGTGTTCCCGTGTTCGCTGTTGCTGCAGATGCTATTGGAAAAAAACTGCTTTACTGCTTTAATAAAAGTGGCTTCCCTTTGGGAGGCTGTGTTATTAAACATAGGTGACATATTGCTGGGAACGAGTTCTGGATAAGCCAGGGTAAAAAGGCAGCGCTCCGGAGATAACAGAGATGTGCAATCCAATGGTTTTTGTTTGTTTTGAGGTGCCAGTTTTTAGAGAGGGTAATATGCTACATTGGTCTTTGATTGCTGTAGTGCAGCTGCGGCTCAGCCTCGCCCATTTTCTTTAATATGGGAGCCATAGGCTGATACTTTCTTCCATGCAGAAGCTTATAGGTAAATCCTTCTTCCGCTAAATGGATTGATTAACAGTTACGTTCTCCTGCTGGAATATACATACATTATTTTGAAGGCTGAGCATTTTCATTGAGGCTATTCTATCTAGTGATTAGAGATCGATCTGTTTTTTGCTCGGACATGTGCAGAGCTGGAGTTGACAGAGAGGAGCACACACCCTGGAGCACTGTCGGCCAGTCTGTCTAATCTTCCAGTGAAGGATGGGGATTGTGGCAAATGCCGTGCGTGGGAACGAGTTTCTCTGCATGAGGGATTTCCACCTTTCCCCCTGGCCGTGGCTCCCAGCAGATGATGTCACCTCGCAGCTCATTGGCTCCGCCTGCACCTAGTGCAGGGAAGGCAGAGAAAGATGCCGGCACAAATCTCAGTGGTGGATCTCGGGTGTTGCGAGCAGGTTCCAACAGCATCTTGGATTAGCATTTAGAATCGACTGCGTGTGGCCATGTGAGGTGCTGGGTCCTTCCTAGGGCCAGGGGATTTAAGAGCTATCAGAGGAATGAGGCGGCTGATCTGCAAGCGGATCTGTGATTGTAAGTTGAAAAATCTGGGTGGAAGGGAAGAGACAGGGAGTGCTGGTAGACACATTGTGGGAGGATGTGTAGCAGAAAAATGCATGCACGAGTAAAAGAAGAAAAGGGAGAAGCATTTGTCTTCGGTAGAATGCAGCAATACAGAATGGTATTTCCTTGGGGGGAAATACATGCAAGTGGGCAAAAATATTTGATTTGTGCAAAGATATTTTCCCTTTGTGGGAATGAATGTGAAGGATTCATTTTTAGGTGCAGTGCTGTAGCGATTAATTATGAAGGCAAAATGATATTTTATGAACACTTACTATGTAGAAAATGCTGTTTATTTCTGATTGTCATTTTATTCGTAGGTCACAGGCAGAGGACAAAGTGATAATACACGTTTTTATTTATGCGTTTTTTCAGTCGGTGAAATATGAAGCAGAACAGATGATTGAGAACTAAATATACATTCATTCTCATATATATTTCAATTTAATGTATCCTTTTCTAGACAAAAGCTTCGATGATGAAGAGTCGGTGGATGGAAATAGGCCATCGTCAGCTGCTTCAGCCTTCAAGATTCCTGCACCTAAAAAGCCAGGAAATCCTTCCAACAGTGCAAGGAAGCCGGGTTCTGCTGGTGGGCCGAAGGTTGGAGGTAATGTAAAGCTGTTCAGCCTCTAATAGGTGTTGCCAGAAACCTTGCTAGAACAAGCACAAAACAGAACTTTGAAAGGTGATGTTTAATTCATGACTGCAGTATTCTTGCAGAACTGATAACAGTAAGGGACCCTCTTTTACGTAATTATTTGTCTTTAAAGGTGTGTGCATAAAGCCTGCCTGCTTTATGATGTGCAGTTGGCTTATAGAGGCCTCACAATTAAAAAAAAAAAAAATCTGGAGAATGTGATTGTATTGGTGGAATGAATGTATGCATGTGAATTCATGGAATCCACATGTCCATCACAATATATACAATAAATATATTGTGAAACTCTGTAGTAAATGTACGTAAGTGAATTTTTTACTGTAGGTGTGCTCTGTTTTGCATGGCTCAAAAGGGCTGGTCATCAATTATAGACTTCAGCAGAGGTGTATGGTACAGCTCAGTGACTTCTACTACTCCATAAACTGCCAGAGTAATGTGAAACTAATTGTAAAAGATACAAATGAGAGCCAAAACTGTTGCCAGGATTTTTTGCATGGTAGATTTCAAAGTAGAATAATGATGATGCTTGCTAATTATAATCATTGAAGGTGGACATGCTTTTTCTTCTTCTTTTTTTTTATAATAGCTGGGAGGGGCAGAATCTAACCAGCAACTGTTCACTGCTATTTAAAAAAAAAGTGACACCTTTTTTGATGGTTTATGCACAAATTCAAAAAAATGTGTAAGTAAGTGGAAACATAACCATGCTTTAGGTATGGTACTTGATAAATAATTGTTTGTTTCTTTTGGTAGGGCGTTCTTCTGAACTCGACAGCAAAGATAAAATTTGAACTAAAGTATGCATACCTAACAAGCTGCAGTATCTGTTGGCCTCTCAGTAAGATAGAGCTCATGTTTTGGCAATTCATTGCATCTCTAATGTGATCTTCAGACTTCCTGATACATTGAAAAGATTCCCGTAGGGCGGGATCAGCACTGCCATCGTACAACTCACAATTGATAGCAGTATGAATCAGGAAGTGCCACTTAAAAGACTTTATAAGGGAAACTGTCTTTGAAATTAACAGTTTGTATTTTGTTGCTGTTATTTATTTCTGTATCTTTACAGCCAAGTGTCTAGAACTAGGTTCTTACAGAAAACCATTGGTTTGATGTTAGAACCATTGCTTCTGCTTCTTTTGAGAGAAAACAGAGGTGTCACCATTAAATGAATGAAAAAAGGAGTGAGTCAAAGGACATGACAATGGAAAAGGACAATTACTCGAACATCTTATTTCCAGAACCATTAAATAAATAGATAGATACATGGGAGGACTTGAGATCAGAGGAGGCATATGGTTCAAACATATTTCCAGAACTATCTGTTGATGAGCTCCCAACTCATGAACCT